AAAGAATACATCTAAACCATGTCATACAGGGCATAATGTTTGGGTGAATGTCGTTTTATCGAATGGGGATGATAAAATATGTCAGTCCTGTATGATATTACTGTTACATAGCATTAGAAACATGACAAAACAAAGAATAGCGCACTTACAGGAATGTGATTGTTCTCATTCAATTGCTCAAAAAGTAAGTGATAAATAAATACATTTATCTACACAGCTTGAGGAAGAGAATAGATTACTACGGGAGTGGGATAGAAGATCAAAAGAAATTCAAGAGCGGCATAAACAGGACCACAGAGCTTGGCAGGAGGAACGAGCTTACTTTCAGAGGAAATTAGTTGAAAATGAGAAAACGAAGAAAAAGGATAAAACTCGAATTGATGACATTGTTCAAGAGGTGAGAATTGGAAGTCTATCTGAATATTGGGAGTGAGACTTGTATATAAAGTATAAGAGCTTCTCCAAAAAGTTCAGGATTCACAACTTTTAAACATATGTTAAAAAATCCTTCATATATACAACAGATTGCAAAATTATCATCACAAAACGTTGGATCCCATTTTGTAGCTAGATATTTACCAAGAATAATAGATGATGTTCTTGTTGTAAAGCAGTTCATATTTGTAGTGTAACCTTCTGCTTGGAACACATTACTGTTCTCTAGTCAAAGGGAGTTCCCAGATTCAATGTTTTGATTAGTGTGTTTTAACCTAGATCCCCTTGTATAATTACTAGAACTGCAAATTGTTTTATGGAATCCATAAGTCATTTGTCTGTCAGAGTAATGACCATCTTGTCTGACAACTGTATGTAACGAAAACGACATTTCTTTTCAGTTCGAGAAACTGAAAAAGATCACTACATATGTTGATTTCACTCAACAAGATGGCGTCTTACAAGAAACCAGTCATGATTACGAGTCAAAACTAAGGATACCAGAAACAGATCCGAGCCTGTCGCCAAGAAGTATGACGTCGACCAGTTTACAGGTTAGTGTGACAGAATATTAATAATTATTGTGACCACAAATTTAGTTTTGGATCCGATATATACACTGGGCAGACTGAGCTGCAAATGTCATTTTTCTCATTGTGCCAGCCGCAACAGCATGTTTCAGATATCTATATTAATTTTAATGTAATATAATGTCGACCGCTTAGGATAGGGGCAGCCGTGTCTTTCTATGTAGCCTTTTTATGTAAAACAGATATAATTTGTTTATTACGAGTTTCGCTCTTCTGTGTTGGACTGTTTCGTGTAGGTGTCTTTTCCCCTGCTTATTCTCTTCCCTTCACAGACTTCATCATCCCACTTCTCGTGGTATTCTGTTCAACAGACCTGTGAACCACAACTAACGAAATTTGAACAGGTGAACGTTGCTGCTACTTCCATCTCGCTATGCAAAGACGTGCATGTCCAAAATATTGTAACAAGGGATACTGGGATTGCTAGGAATGCTGGGAGTACTCTGAGGACATATAGAAGCATGGATTTTGATCTCGAGAGAACAATGGATGAGGTTCACAGATCTTAATTCTGTTTCCCCATTGATGGCACTAATCTAAAATGTCCTCCATCTTTCATTGGTTGTTTGAAATGTGGGTGGATTACTTCCTCTGAACGGTGGATGTTCTATTTTAGATTTTATCTGGCAGACCATACACTAACCAACAGATTACCATAATTGTTACCATTGCCTTAATTTATATTATACTGTATATTCTTCAATGTGTCAATCAAAATATCATTAATATTTCATTTTCAGATTATAATATAAAAACGAATTCATATTACTGATAACCTATCTTTGATGAATATGTCGGATCATATGTAACTTATCATTGATAGATATCTGACCATTGATAGCCTGTCATTGATAGATATCTAATTATTGATGACCTGTCATTGATAGATATCTGGTCATTGAAAGATATCTGACAATTGATAACCTATAATCTATTGTTTATTTTTAATTCAGTGTTCACGTATTGGCTTACTTAATTGGGCACAAGCAGCCATTATTGTGAGGAATTATTCTTAGGGGGAAACCGGGCAAACAACATAATGCTCCCAGATGAAAAAAAACTGTAGGATAAATGTAGGATAATGCAATGTACAGTTTTTTTATCTATTTTTTATCTTCTGGATATTCAATATCTCATCAGTATTATGCATTCCGTCATATTGATTCTCAAGCAAAGGATCAAGGGTAACATATGATTGGTTGAATATATAGAGAATGAAAAGTGATATCAGAATCTACAAGTTGCATTCTCCTATATTTGTGGATTTTTTTCATCAGGAGTGTTAGCATAATAGTGCCAGTCCGTCCAACCTCTGACATGAAAATAAACTTATAGTATAAATTAATAATAATAATAATAAAATAATAATATTTGTCGAACAAATTCAGTAACTTTTGTCGAATTGATATCTCTTGTTTACCAAAAACTTACAACTGAAATTCTCTTCAAAATGTTCTGGTATTCGGATACATGTCAGTGTCTGCCAAGTAAAGGGGCCAGTAATGGCGAGTGTTGTCTGCTTTTAATCACTAGTCATTTCCGATAATATGCTTGCTTAACATGCTGTTAATTTTCCGTCTGAATTCAGTTGCATCTTAACTTGTGGTGAATTCGGGAATATTTGAGGTCGTATACCATGATCAGTAATAAAGTAATAGTTTAGATATTAGGCGCAACAGAGTTGTAAAATGTTAGTTTAAATATGCTTAATATATTATGCCATATAACATCTGAATCTACCCTCCCTCCCAGTGATTTTAGAGCTTATATCTTGCATGCCGAAACTATGACCTATGTTACAATGATAAACCAGAAACGAAATGAGACCAAAACAACCTTACACAATCATGATATTATATAGTCTGGCATCTAGTTTTGTTTGCTGGCTCAAAACACAGACATATAATACAACAAACTTCATACAAGTTGGAAGCTAATGTCGTATGTATTATGTGAAAAATAATGCGAGGTTTTACTATTTCAAAACTGACACCTTAAACACAGGTATACGAATTTCCTGTTACTCTAAACATGTATTTATTTCCAAATCTTTGAGTATTAATCTCTTTTTTTTCTTCTAACAAAGGTCTTGTAAGCATAATCTACTAATTGCATAATAACATGGAATGCTTATTTATTTTATTGCATGCTGCAATTAGAAAAGGGATTCAAGTGGAGAAAGGTATGTAAATCATATTCTTTTCATAATTTGCATACTCTCGTGTGCTATTCTCAGGCTTTGCGAGAGATTGAGAAAGTCACAGACGACTTGGCTCAGTACCAAGCAGATATAGTGAGAGACAAGAATACAAGGCTCAAAAGGTAATTCCGTGAGTAAGGTTTTGTTTCCTACACTCTGATAAGTATAAAAAACATATCATAAAAAACAGATAATAATATTGTTTTAGGTTTGCTGTAGACAGTGTCGAGCGGAGTTATTCATATTCTTGATCGCTCATCATTGTTGTCTTCCGATGTCAACTTTATATTTTTGATTCTTTGTTAAAATTGTCAGATGCCAGGGTTAGGCAGTTTCCTCTCTCATTTTTGTTCTTTTCGTGATATTAATTTTCCTAATTTTATATTTTTTAAGTTTTCGATTTCTTTCTTGAAAATATCTTTCTCAATTGCTTCGATATTTTATATGTAGATTTCCTGGGATGACCTCAGTCAGATTTGTTCATTTTGTTACAATATCTTCAATTATTATTTTTTTACTTGTCCTCGAAAACGGCGTGACCAATTAATTCAATATTCGGTTGGATGCTCTAAGATATGTTGATTTTTTGCTGATAACTTTGATTTTTTAATTTAAGTGAATATTTTTTGTCATTTTCAGTCAAAATAAATCTCTTTTCGAAAACCATCACTGCCTGATTAATTTGATTCATTCTTATATCAGTTTAATTAATTTTAATTTTGAAAATAGCTAGACTGATTGATTTGATATCCTTTCCCATTATGCATCTGAACCATCAGGGTTATAACATCCGACAGGCTGCTTGAATATTATATTTAAGATGTTTGTTCCAAATACATACATACAAACATCAGTATAGTTAATAGTATAGTCAATCTTACTTGATCTATGACAGTTAGCACAGTGTAAGATAGATTGTTTCTTTAGTTGTAGTTTTTGTGGTTTTTTTCTGCATTATAAAAACCATATATTTTTATTATCAACGTTTAAACAACTACTATTTTTACGCATAGTATAAGACTATATCTAAAGCATAGATTTATTTGTTAATATTAGTGGAATTTTACTATTACCTGTTTAGATCCAAGTCACATTCAGATGTGTCAGAGCATGGTGAGGAGATAGTACAAGCCATGGACCAGTTCTATAAATCATCAACCCTGTCAAGACCAGCAAAACCAGATAATAAACCACCAGTGATAACACAACCTCAAGAAAGTACAAAAGAACGTTTGATCTTTCCACCTGCCGAGACTGTTATATCTGAAAATGTCAATGTACAATCTCAGATAGAAAGGTTAGGCAACCGAGCATCTGAAAAAGTTGACGATGATGCTACTAGCAAGGATCCTGGAAGTCCGGGATATGTTGTCTCTGAGAAAGTAACCTACACAACAAGCATCAGCCATAGTACTCATGTCCCCAAAGTAACGTCCAGTGTAGCTACAGGAGGCATTGCAACAGTAACATCTACAACATCACCAACTACTGAAAGCATAGAGAGCGACACTAACAGAGGTTCTCCGCCCTCAAAGTTAATAGCCATTCCAGTGCTCACCAGAAGAGGATTGTTCAATGCGCGGGGTATGTTAAGAGAAACAGAAAAACAACCATCATTACCTTGGATGCAGCCTGATGGTACAGTCATAAACGACTCGCGTGATTTGGAATCTCGCCTTCGAGAAGGACGTGTCATCTCAACTAAAAAGATGTTTGAGAAGGGAGACTGCATAGGTAGTCGTTCAAGAGATGCCAGCCCAGTTCCTGTCATGGCCGGTAGGACACCTATTACAGTAAAGAAACCTGTATCAAAGCTTGGTAATGAGAGCAACAATAAAGAGATTACACAGCCAGTTACTAAAGGAGCTGTTGTGACTCCAGTTACTTCATCTAGGATTGATGATACAGACTTATCATCAAATTCTACCAAGAATGTGGGGGCAC